TTTCTATTATTTATAGCAAAATATCATATAAAAATTGAATAATTTTGGTGTGATATTATATATATATATATTTTTTTTTCTGTAGATATATATATATATATATATATATATATATATAGAGAGAGAGAGAGAGAGAGAGAGAACATCAATTTCAAAATAAAATGGCTCATAGTGAAAATCGGTTATTCTTTACCGATAGAATAATTTTTTAAAAATTGAATCAAACGAAATCAAATTGAATCTTTTTAAAATGTTAGAAAGATATTCGAAAAATATTCGTTAGATATTAATTATTAAAATCAATTTATTAAAAATTTAAAAAAAATTATTATCAGTCAGAATCACAAAGAAAAAGAAGCAAAGATTGTAATTTTTAACTTTTTTATCTAAGCTAAAAAAAATTTTTGCTTTTGTAAATGCTTTTGTAATAAAATATAAATGTAATCTAAATAAGTTAAATCTAACAAGTAAGTATTTGTAGATTTAAGTAAGTTATTTACATAAAATTTCATCAAAATTTCATTAATTATGAATTACAAAAGATCGAAAATATTCAAATTCGCAATTTTTCACGATTTTTGACCTATATAACTAAGAAATCTAAAAATGTTTATATTGTTCTATGCATTAATTGATTTTGATGAAACTTTATAAATGTATAATTTACTTAGATTGATATATAAAATACGTTTTAAATTTTTTTATAGACTTAAATAAAAAAGTTAAAAATCGAAATTTATTTTTTTTTCGCAATTTTAATCAATAATAATTTAAAAAAAAATTGTTATACATTATCTAATAAATTTCTAGCATTTTCAAATCTTTCTAACTTCTCAAAAAAATTCAATTTATTTGATTTAAAAAAATGATTCTCTTTTGAATAGTAATTGATTTTCACTGAGAATTATTATATGTATATGATAAAAAGAAATGTAAATTAGTGTTTTTCTTATCTTTATTTTGTCACATATTAAATTTTATAAAATTAAAAAAAGAATCTCATAAATTAATCATTTTTAAAAATATAGAAAATAATGAACTATATTATTTTATTTAAAGGAATAATAATCTTTATATATATGTTTATTATTAAAAAAATTAATATAATATGAAGTTATATCCTTTTTCAATATGAAATGTTTGTATATAACATTTTTTTTATAATTTAATTTACTTAATAAATAATTTAAGATAATCATTTTATTTAAAATGATCATATAAAAAACTCTTGGAATTATATATTTTTATAATTATTTAAAAAGAAGAAAATATTTTTATTATAATCAAATTTTAATATTATTATATCTTTATTGAAAAATATATATATATGAATTTTATATTATGTTCTTTGCAAATGAAAAAGAAAATTAATGATTTTTCTAATTTTTATTTAAAGAAATATAAATATTAAATGTTGACTTGTGTTTTTCATTAAATTCTTTTTCATTAAATTATAGTTGATTTAAAAATTATTTGTTACAATATAATTTATTTATTCAATTATTATATTATTCATAAATATTTATTGTTGAATTATTTATGAATTTTAATCCTTATATTTTTCATAATATAAGTCTCTGTTTAAAGTTCCTGCAAATAATATATTCTGATATATTTGGATTAACTTTTAAACATGAATTAAATGTATTATATTTATGCAAAATATACTAATTAATTAAAGTTTTTTAATATCAATAACATATATTGCTATTAATATCACTATAAAATCTATCTTTTTTATCCATAAATTGACAATATTTGTAATTTTTACAAATTTTGTAACATTTTTAAATATATATATTCAGCTTCCATAATTAATGATATTTAAATGTATATAATGTATATAATATTTTTATGAAATTGTAATAATAATTTTTTCATTATATATAATATAATTGTATAATATAAATATATTATAAATATATATAATTTTAATAAAAGATTCTATAATAATAATAAAGTTTAAATTATCATTGAAATATTTATATAAATATTTTTATATAATTTTAAATTTTATAAGTTGATACAATTATCTAAAGCACGGTATGCAGAGGGCGATATCATAGAACCGGTATGAAAATGGGACACTATTTATTCTCAGTCATTCCGAATATTTGATTTAAAAAATTTATTCTTATTTTTTACTAAAAGAGATTCAACAAAATTTGTTATAATATTTTAATGTGAATTCTTATGTAAACAACGAAATTTAATTTAATTTCTAAGAAAAATGGGAACTGTTCATGCAAAGGTACACATGTATTATTAGAAAATTACGATGTAACCTAAAATAAAAGCTATTAATTTATACCATGAGTAATTTCTAATAATAATTTTTAGTATTATTATTTTGAATATTTTATAAAATTGTTATATTTTATTAAATTTGTATTATTTTATTAAATATACTTCTAATTTTATTATATAGATCGTTATTATATTTGTTAATTAATTCTTTACATTATTTTTTTCATTAATGAAAATATAATCTAATGACTTACATTTTTCTTTTTAATGTTTTAGGAATCAAATATGTCCAGAAATATAAATGAAACTTCAAGTAATAATACTGAAAAACAAAATTTTAGAAAAAATAATTCTGTAAGTAATATGTATATATTTTTAAAGTTTATTTAATATTTCTTATATTTTTTATTTAATTTTTTTTATAATACATAAAATAATTTAAATTTTTATTTTTAATCCTTATATTTTTAGGAAAAGATGAATTTATTTGAAAAAAGAAAAGAGGAACCCATTGATCTTCATTCAGTAAAGGTATTAATATAAATATAAAACATTAATTTTTTCAAATTAATAATTTTACAAATTAGTAACTCTAGTTTTAAAATATTATAAATTAGGCAAGAGTTGACAGAATACATGTAGATGGGCTTATAAGAACGAAAGATGATATAATAAAAGCTCAAGTAATAGAACTGTTTAAAGCTCAAGATTTTTATGATGTTGTTCTACGTGCCTATAAAGTGAGAGAAAAGTTACAAGGTTTAGGATGTTTTGGAAATATTGGAATTTACATTGATACCAGTCAGGGTCCTCGTGCTACCCCAGAAGGCGTTGAAGTGGGTCTATATAATTACACAATAATTCAACAAAAAATAAGTAATTTCTCAGATTTAATTCTTTCCAGTTCACTCATGAATTTCTTATTTAATGATTAATATATATTCTTTTAAGAAACTTTAAAACCATGTTCTTTTTCAGGTCACTTTTATGGTACGTGAAATAAGACGCTTAACAGGTGGAATTAGTACTATGGTTGGAAATAATGAAGGTTCAGTTATTGTTCATGCAAAAGCACCCAATTTATTTGGAAGAGGAGAACGTTTACAGATGGAATATTCTTATGGTTCAAAAAGTTCAACTAATATAAGTATATCTGCTGTTAAACCATTTATAGATAATTGGCGTCATACAGTGTATGCAAAATTATTTCATTTTAAAAATTAATAATTAAAAATAAATGTTCTTGTAAATTTATATTTAATAATTTTTCTTATAGATTAACTGGTAGTGTGTTTAACACATCAAATAGATTTCCATGGTCTGGTTTTAGTCAATGTGATAAAGGTTTTTTATTAGATATTGGTCTTAATCCAGATGGAGCAGGTACATTAAAACATAACTTGCAATATGAAGCTACATATAGGGAAATAATTTCTTCTAAGCAAGTGTCATTTCGCGTTCGAGAGCAATGTGGTCCAAATTTAAAATCTGCTCTACGACATATTTGTTCTATTGACAAAAGGGATTCGTTAATATTTCCTACTATGGGAAGTTTAGTGCAATTTTCGACAGAAGTAGCTGGTCTTGGCGGAGATATAGGATTTGTTAAAAATGAACTTACCATGCAAACTAATTGGTCACCATATGAATGTCTAGCAAGTATTTTCAAATTTGAAATTATTTCTTATATATAATTTGTGTAATTAAAAAATTTTTATTAGACCTTCCAATTGGGTTTTCAATCTGGATTGCTTCGAGGAATTAGCAATGACATGAAAATAAATATTGCTGATCATTTTTTTCTGGGTGGACCATTAAATCTTAGAGGATTTGATATGAGAGGTTGTGGACCTCGTCATGATGGAAATTCTATTGGTGGTGATGCATATTGGGCTCTTGCATTGCATTTATACACACCATTACCATTTAGACCTGGTCGTAATGGTTTTGGTGATCTATTCAAATTGCATGGTTTTATCAATGGTGGAAACGTATCCAATTTTACTTTTAAATTTGGTATGATATCTTTAAAGTATTTTTTATGTTTTAATTTGTAATTATTTAGGAAATAAATAATTTCTCATTATTTGCAGCTAATGATTATAAAGAAAATATGAAAATTTTTAAAGAAAATGTTCGTTGTGCAGTTGGTGGAGGTATTGCAATGAAACTTGGAAATATAGCAAGAGTAGAGTTAAACTTAGTTATGCCTTTGTTATTTGTCAGGAGCGATGTATTGCAACAATTTCAATTTGGTATTGGGTTGCAATACTTATAAATAATTTCTATTTCAGAGTAGTATAAATTATACCTACATTATTTCTATGTGAATCATATGCATTTAATGTAAAATAAATTACAATTATAAATTTATAACTCTTATGGAAATATATGCTAATATCATTAGAAATAAGTATCAAAAAAAGCATTTTCAATAAAAATTGATACAAATCTATTTCTTGATTTTTTTAAATATATTTATATTATTAAAGTTGTATTTTACATACATAAACATAATTAGTACATTTATTTCATAGTTTATATTAAGTTTGAGTTTTATAGTATTTTATAGTATATATATATATATTTCATCAATTAAGTTATGAATCAACTATGAATCAGTTCATTAATATGTTGCATATTTGTTTTTAAAATTGTGTAATTTTATCTTTTATCGATTTAAATTAATATAATATATATACAATAATTCTAAATATTATTTCAGAAAAAATTATTTTTTACTTTCAAATATTATAAAGACATCATTTTGCTAAATTATTTATTCTTTTATCTTTCTTAAATTTATATCTTAAACGTGAATCAATTATAACAGCGCCCCTACAATGTATGTATAAATGACCTATGCATCAGTTAGTTGAAAATGGCCGCTTAAAAGTTATCGTTGAAATGTATGTTTTAATCATGTATCACTTTACAATGGAATCCTTCGAAATTATTCAAGAATTAAAACAAAATATTGTGATTGAAGTAAAGAGATTTATCAGAAATCTATTGTTAAAATATAAAAAGTGTGGTATTACAAGTAATCAGTTGTCATATTGCGAGCAAAATATTATACGTGATAATTGTCATAGTGGAGGCTATCTTTGTTGTATGTATAAGTGAAAAAAAAAAATATTTTATGTAATTAATATTATTGTGTTTAATATTATAACATTAAAATCATGTTGAAATATAAATATTTTGGATTTGAATATATTATTTAAATTAATAATTTACTGATTTTTGATTAATTAATGTCTGATGTATGTGCGATGTGGAATATTCGTGACGTGATTATAAACATTATATCGATTTCAAATATATTTTTAAAATTACAAATATAATAATTTGAAATTTAATATTAAAATTTATTACTTTTTATTAAAATATATAATATTGAAATTATTATATAAAATTCTTATATTGAAAAATAATATATATTATATCATATACAAAGATTATGATTATCGAATATTTTTGAGCAATATTTTAGAAAATATTTGATAATTTACATATTTATCATTTTTTATGCGAGATAATTAAATTTAACTTATTTACTTATAATTAACAATTTTTTAAGTTATTTATTAACTATTTTTAAATAATATTTTTAATATTTTAATATAATTAATATTTTAAAATATTATAAATTAATATTTATATATTAATTTAATTATATTATATTATATTATATTATATTAATTTTAAATTTATTTTACAGCTAAACAAAGAAGATTTATGAGAACCGAGAAAAATTGTAAAGAAGCAGCAGTGTGTTGAATGATGTATGTAATAAAATTTAAATTATATTTTTCAAAAATTTAAATTAGTTATTTAAATTTTTTTTTTTTGCAGCAACTTTGCTTCAATATTAAATATGTATTTTATGCAGAGTTTACCTCTAGAAACAACAATGGAAAAAATGTATTCAATAAATAATGTACTGAATGAAAAAAGAAATATGTCAAGTTCAAAAAAAGAAAATATGTTCCATAGTGTCTTTAATATTTTGAATATACTTTGGGAACAATTTTCTAAAGTTCCTGCTTCATTTATAGCAAGTATTAATTATCCATTGTCTATAACAGTTGTGAACAATGATGGTATAATTCCACATGACTTTTTTAAAGATTTGTCAAATAAAAGAGAACGATTAAGTACTGATAATGTATATATTCAGAATGCTCATGTAAAAGAATCTTTAAATATTATTAAAAATACAAATAATGATATATTTGATGAAAGAAAATCTATAAATAAAATTTTTAACAAAAATGCAAATAATAATTTAAAATTTAATTATGAATACATTAGTAACAAAAACAAATATGCAAAAAGATCTGATAAAAAAGAATCATATATTAAGGAGAATATTAGATATGATACAACTAATTATAATTATTTGATATCAGTTCAAAATTTGAACAAATCAAATGAAGAGGAAATGTTTGAGTACATTTATTTTGATAAAAACATACAAAAAGTATGTACTAAAGAAAATTGTTATAATTTTGAAGATACTTATAATAAGCATATATTTAATAAGGAACAATTTTTTAATTATATTAACAACAGTATAGATGATAAAATAATTTCTTTTTTAACATCTAGTACAAATACATTAAGTATGCAACCAATCCAACAAGGTATAATTTCTAATCTGTTCACAAAGGTATTGCAAAAAGCTTTCAATAGTATAACAGATCGCTTTTATAGAACAGAATCTGTTGAATCGGATTTGATAATTAAACGATCATTCTCACCGAAGCAACGAAAAAAACTTATTGCAGTGGCGAAAGGTAGAGGTCGGGGACGAGCAAAGTCGCAACTTAGACGTTCTGGAGTTAGCCAAACAAGACATAGAAAAGAACGCATTAAACATGATATTGCTATAGATATAGAAGATGATTTTAAAAGCTGGCAAGAATTAAAAGTATCTCATACAATAAAAAATAAAAAATTAGAAGACTGTTTTAGCTTAGATGAAGATATAATAGATACTGTACAATATACTGTAAAAGAGACAGTGAATCCTGTAACATATACATTTGCCGATATAAAACCCAAAATTCAAAAATCAAAAATATGTAGAAATATTAATAAAAGTATACCTAATTTTTCTAAAAAAATGAAAAGTATATTCGAATGTACAGAACAAACAAATATTTTTCATCATGATTTTGTTGAGAATAGATATAATGTACAAAAGAATACATTTCGACCACGGTTAATATCAGAAAGTTCCATTGATTCAGAAGATAGTTACTGTATAGTATTTGAAACTGGCTCCGAAGTAACTTATAAAAGTGATCTTGAAGATAGTGAAGAAAATGATGAAGATCAAATAAGCGAAGATGAAAAAATTTATAAAGACGAACGATCTATATCTCCTGTTCAAAAAGTAATTAATCATTTATGATTTAAATTTGCTTATTATAATTTTGAAATAATAATTAATAAGATTTTTATTATAGGTAAAATTTAATTTAAATCCAGAAATTCATATAATGGTTCAATGGGACTATGCTTATCGTGCAGCTCGAAAAGGTCCATGGGAAGAAATGGCTAGAGATAGAGAACGATTTAGAGGCCGTATAAATTGTATAGAACGTGTTCTTAATCCAATATTAACAACTCAACACAGAACTTATATTTGGCAAGAACGATTTGCACTTATTGAATAAAATTCATATTTACTATTTAAGGTAACTGTATCATTTAAAATTAGTATTATGTACTATAATAGAAGAGATGATGTATTTAAAAAAAAAAATGTGTATAATAATTCTTTTAAAATGATAAAATAGGCTGTGAACAAATAGAATATGATGTCTTTTAATAATACAATATATTCATAATGATAAAAATGAAGATTAATTTTTCATTTTTTAAATTGCAACAACAATTGGTATATATCATATATTTTTTCATTAAAATTTATAATACTATAACTTGTATGAAGTTAATAAGCTGTAAATTTTTTTTGGCTAGTCTATTATATCTAAAAATATTAACAAATATTAGATTTTTTATATCATAAATTATATTAGCTAATAAATAAATAAATACATGCATACTTTTAAAATGTTAATAAGCTATATTTTATTGAAATATATCTCACTTATATTTTTTTAAAATCTGTAAATCCAATTGTATCAACAATAACAGATTCAATAATTAAAGATTTAAAAATTTCACATTTTCAATTCAGTAAAAATCCATATTAGATTATTTAATTTGATTTGTATGCAAAATACTGTAAATATAAAAATGTTAAAATAAAATGAGAATTTAAGTTACATAAGTAGAAATACACTTTTCTATTAACATTTTTAAATATTTCAAAATATAGAATAATAAAATAGAATAATAGAATTACATTTATATAAAGGATGTTAAAATATTCATGGGATAACTTTGAAGATTCTTTTTCGATTTTAATAAAATCAAAACAAATAAAAGTTGATATACAAAAATATTGGTTGAGATATATTTAAGCAATTTAAATAACATTATAAACTATTTAAATTTTTATTAAATGATACAAGATGAAAATAGAATAATAGTATGACAAAGATAGAACTATTTCAATAATTACATCTAATAAAATACATCTTAATTCATATAATTACATCTAATAAATACATCTTAATTCATTGCTAACTTAAATTGCTTATAAATGAATAAATAAACTTTAATTTTTGCAATAATTTTTTTATATCAATTTTTGTGTTTGTTTTGGTTTAAAATCTATTTTCTAAATATCGCTTGAATGTATTGACATCCTAGATATTATTCTTAGTTTCTTAGTTAAATTCATTTTATATATCTAAGTTACAAAATATAAATAACTTGAATTATATATACTAGTCATTAAATGTATAAATTATCAATCAGTTTTGTTATGTATAAAACAAATTATTAGAAGATTTTCATTATTCACATTTTTTTTTTCTAACATACATTATCTCTTCTATACAATTATTTTGTAACAAAATTAAAATCTTTTCACTATATTTTCGATATTAAAATTATTATATGCATTTTTTAAACATAAAATTCAGAAGTCACATATTTGTGATATTCTATGTACATGTTTTTTTCGTCTTTAATTTGATAAAAAATATAAATATATGAACATTAACTATTAACTTAAGGATATATTCATAATTTCATTTTCTATTACTTATTTTTAATAAGGTATAAATGTAATTAAATATTAAGTACAAATTTCTAAATATTGAACAAATAAAAAATATCTTTAATTTCCATTTTAAGCATACAGCTTATACATGTCTCTGTTTTATTTATTAATTTATATTATTTGTTTTCCACATTTTTATTAGAAAATTTTCTTATTATAAATTTTATTGAAAAATCTGAATATTTGTAATACATAATATTGAAAAATATATCATTTATATTGACAATATTAAAATTAATGGAAAGTTTAGGCAGATATAATTATAATAAATTATGCATTGTAATTCCTGAAATTAATTTATTATTATGATAAGAAAATAAATTCTATTTCATTACTTATAATTAATTAATGCACACACATATAAATGCTATATATTGCTGAGAAGTTTTCTAAATTGATAAGAAAATAAGAAAATACTTTTTTCACTTACAATCATTATTATATGATATTATTTGTAAATATGAAATTTTTGGCTAGCAATACCATTTTTGACTGTTTTTATAATTACATTCAATTATTAGAAAAAATTAATTAAATAAAAATTGATCACATTTTTTTCAAACGATTTCTTGTCAGCAATGCATAATATTCATATGTGAAATAAGGTATATTATACGTAATCAAAAAACACCAGAGAAAATTTTTAATAAATAATTTAATTTACTTAATTAATTCAAACATACTTTTGTATAAATAATATATATTTTTTTCATTATTTAATTATTAATGGAATTTTTAGATATTTTTGAAATTGTTAATTTATATATTTTATTAAATATAAATGTTCCCTGTGGAATTTGATTTGGATTAATATAAAAAAAATTGTTCTTGCCAAGTTTACAATGTATAATATATTTAAAATTAATTAGGAATTACTGCATGTACATACAAAAGTTGGTAATATATATGACTGTGTTATAAATTGTAATAATTAAATTATAATCTACTTCATTTGCACTTATTTAATAATTTCTTTCTATTTTTAGTTTAAAAATTATTTTAATTTCTCTTAATGTAATAATGCAAAAAAAAAAATTTGTTCTTCATATATATATACATAGTCATTTATATTTAAATTTTATCAAAAAAACTAAAATATTATTTTTATTTTGAAAATTAGAATAATATCTTACATGTATCTAGTATATAAATATTATAGGTATATATATATATATTTCATTGAATAAATACATTAATAAATATATTAACTTATAATAACTTGTAAAATATTTAATCCAAAAAAAATTTTCAATGCTTTTTTAATAAAGTAACTTTCATTAAAAATATAATATCCATTATTAAAAATAAAATTTTGTACTTTTAATTAACATAATTTTTTATTAAAAATAATTAAAAAAAGATCAAATATCAAGATCTAACTTGGTTATATATTATTGTTTTTAATCTAATATTATTATAAAAATATTATTAATTATACATTGATAAAGAATTTATGTTGGTTTTGACATATTATTAATTCTCTTGTCATAAATAATTTGCAAAGTTGCTCAGAGTCTAACAATGAAAGTAATAATACAATCCAAATTATGTCAAGGACAAATTACGTGATTGTGAGTACTTGTGGTGATGGCGATAGTCATAAAACTAATGTTATAATTATGGATTCTATTTCTTAATTGTTATCGGATTGTTATACGAATTCATTTTGAAAAACAATGTTATTTTGATACTATACTATTTGATTCCAACAGAACATACATAATAAATATTTTTAATAATATTAATAATATAGTTATATAATATATATAAATATAATATATTTAATATATAATCGAGATCATACTATAGTTTTTATTTAATATAATAATAAAATAATAAAATATTTTTTTCTTTGAGGTATAACAATTTTTTTTAAGAAAAATTAAATATTATTTTTCAATTAATGATTTATAACAATTATTAGAAATAAAATCAAATATCAAAATATTATTAATATAATAACAATTCATTTACTATTTGCAATTACTATTTTTCAGCAATCTAAAATAACCTTTTATTTGATTTTAGAATTATATGGAAATTAATTTTATGTTTTTTTCGAAATATTAATCAATTATATTATGTAATGATATTTAAGTTATATATATAACTATTATATTATATATTTAATAGTAAAATTAAATATTGCACAAAACATTCATTATAATTAATTCTTATTATTAAAGCCGTAGCTATAATAGAAAAAAGTGAAATAATTTTCTTCAAATCAATCTTTTAATACAACAATGCATTTCAATTTAAAATAATTTAAAAAATGCTTTTATGAAAAAATTTCATTGCTATTCATGCTATATATAAACATATATAGTTAAAAAATTATTTTACTGTAACATGCATCTATTTTATTTATGATAAATTTTCCATGAATCAAAAAATATGTTTAAAAGATATCAAATTATTCTTAATTAGCAAATATGTGTTAATTTTTGTAATTATATAATTATATATGTTTCTAAAAATTTTTTTCTTTATCAGTATTCTATTATGTGCATTGTTTAAATAATTAATAATAATTCTATGTTATTGAATTATAATTATAGCTATACATATTTTATATATTGCATTGCACAATTTTTGATCGACATTTTCATTTATAATATAAATAAAATAATAATGATATAATATAAATATAAAATAATAATGAAAATTTTTACAATTGTTTTTCTTAGATATATTTTCTAAACAATTTTCATTATTAATTATATAAAAAATTTTTTTAGAAACAATTTTTTTAGAAATCTTAACTAATATTTTTTAATTTAAAAAATATTATAATTGATAATATTAATAATTGATTGATGATAATTGATTTACATGCAACAATATATTCAATATTATATCTAATATTATTATCTAATATTATTATCTATGAAATATGTTGAATATTTATTGTGAAAAGAACACTGGAGAGAATATTAACCGGAAAAGGATAGGCATAATTTAACTGGATAGTTATTACAATAGAGAGGAAAAGAGGAACAAAATGGACAATATTTTTCGATGCATATTTGTAATTGAGATATTGTTAATAAATCAGCAGTCCTTTACCATTTAATGATAAATCACTTACAAAAATATATATAAAAGTGCGTAATAATTTATTGACTAATTTTTATAAACACAATTATTATAATTTAAATTTAAAATAACACAATTTTGATATTGCTTAATAAATAATGATATTAATGAATTTCAAGTTTAAATAAATAGAATGTATCAATAAAATTTATTTTTTAGTTGAATTATAATTTTTTTACTATTTATTTTATACTATTTTTTATCGGTTAAAACTTTGAGGGTTTTTAAATTGTATATATTATTAAATATAGATGATTTTTATTGTAATTATTGTATTATTGTAATAGGATGGTCTTTCAGTTACAATATTACAATATTTTATTAATACATATTTTAATTGTGTGTGTGAAAATTATGAAAATTAAATAAAAAAAGAAATATAAAATATTGATAATATTGATTAAAAGAATTAAAAAATGATTTCTTAATAGATAGATTTCTTAATAGACTTAGTGTATTAATTAAAAGAATTAAAAAATTAAATTATTATTATTAATTAAAAGAATTAAAGAATTAAAAAATGATTTCTTAATAAACCTAGTGTAATAATTAATGAATCAAATATTTTTCATTTATCAAAATAAAGATTAGAACAAATCTATATTTGTGTTAAATAATTTTTACATAATTCATTGATATAGAAAATTTTTATGTTTAAAATTTGATATCTATTTTTCTATAATATTTTTTAAAATATTTTTTATATTTTTAAATTTTTTTAAAAATTTAACTTGTTAAGAATTA